AAAAAAGTCAAGCTAAAAAACAATGCAAAATAGTGATTTTTGGCAATTTTAAGACGTCCCCCCATTGCCATGGTAACAGGAAATTTACGATTGAGCATGCTGTTACAGAGGCTATGGTCTAGTCAACATTTGTGCCAAGTTTCATCAAAATTGAAGCATATTTTATAGTTTCATAGCAGTTTGAACTTGTTACAGGAGGCTTTTAAATGAAAACGGCCATTTTTCGCAATATGCTCATGGGGTAAAAGGTTAATTAAACAAGAGGGCCATGGTGGCCCTAAATCACTCACCTGACCCATCAAATTATCCATATTTGAGCAGTGTGATCTAGTTTTTTACCCAGGTGACCCATATTCGAACTTGACCTAGAAATCATCAAAACAAACTTTCAGACCAATTTCCAGGATACTTGGAAATTTTCTATTTTAAGCACCGGTGACCTAGTTTTTCATGCGAGATGACCCATGTTCGAACTCATCTGAGCAATTACCTAGACAAGCATCCTGACCAAGTTTGATGATAATTGAGTCAAAAATGTGACCACTAGAGTGTTAACAAGGTTTTTCCATAAGTGGGCAGTGTGACCTAGTTTTTCCTTGACCTAGAAATCATCAAAACAACCTTCCTGACAAATTTCTAGAATATTTGGATCAAAACTGCAGCCACTAGAGTATTAACAAGCTTTTTCTATTTTTAGCTCCTGTGACCTAGTTTTTGACCGGAGATGACCCATCTTCGAACTTGACCTAGAAATCATTAAAATAACCTTCCTGACAAATTTCTAGAATATTTAGATCAAAACTGCAGCCACTAGAGTGTTAACAAGCTTTTTCTATTTTTAGCTTCTGTGACCTAGTTTTTGACCGGAGATGACCCATCTTCGAACTTGACCTAGAAATCATTAAAACAACCTTCCTGACAAATTTCCAGAATGTTTGGATCAAAACTGCAGCCAGTAGAGTGTTAACAAGCTTTTTCTATTTTTAGCTCCTGTGACCTAGTTTTTGACCGGAGATGACCCATCTTAGATCTTGATCTGCCTTCCCCCCCCCCTTTTGAGGCCTCAAACAGTGGAAAAATGCCCTATTTAGGCCCTAAACACTGTGTTTTTGTTTAAGAAATGTTGTTTAAAAAGTGACCACTTTTTTGGCGCCGACCCCCATTCAAATGTTACATCAGGGGGTTGCCAGATAGGATATGTGCCCCTTCTGTTTGTGGGGTTGGAAGGGGGGCGGTAGTCGCCCTCATCACCAAGAAAATTTTGGACATGTGACAGGCTAAAAATGGCCTCAGGTTGATCTTAGGGTAACTAGTAACCGATGCTGAAAAGCCTTTTACTCTATCTCAATTCATTGTGGAGTTGCAGCACTTTGAAATCAGTTTTCATGGAAAAAAAAATGCAAAATAGAGATTTTTGGCAATTTTGAGACGTGCCCCCGTTGCCATGGTAACAGGAAATTTACACATTGAGCATTTTGTAACAGAGGCTATGGTCTAGTCAACTTGATCTTAACACTTTACTGGCTGTAACTGAATATAAACATGTGACTAGTGTAGATCAGGATCAGCTAGCACAATTGTGCTGTCCTATCATGGCCTGCACTGTTTGAAAGTTAAATGGTTTTGTCCAGACTGACTGATGGACAAGTTCATTTAATATACTAAATGAGGTATGTATTGAATTAGAATACAGTGAAAGCTTTTTAGAAGATTAAACAGGGAAATTCAAATTGGCATTAATGTGTGCAGTGATTGGTGACAAGTAACAGCAGCTCTTGTCCTGATCATTAAAATATCATGCCACCAGATTCAGAACTTTTCATGAAAGTTGAGTGAGTGTTGTAAATAGTTAAATTGCCAAGTGGTTAAAATAAAATTTCAGCTAGAATAAAGAACAATGCTAGAACAATGCATATAAAATACCTAAACTATGACAAAATATGCAAAAAACACCCTTACTTATTCAGTTAGATAGAATCATAGATAGTTAGTAATAAGGTAAATTTAGTTTTACTTTAGTTTTACTCAAAATTCTGCATTATTTGAAGAATTTCTAAAGTCATGTCAAATTTCCTTCTTTATCTTTATACTTTAACTCCACTTAGGTTTAATTTTGACATACTGAGACTCCTGTTCAGAAACAAATTTTTGGTCCCATCATTTAAAGTCCAACATATTTTCATCTCAATTAGTTGAAGTTTGAAAACAGCCAACTGATAAAAGGTCGGCCACATCAAGGTGAGATGATGTCACTCTGGTTCACATGTTTCATAGTTATTTTAATTGCCGGTCATCATGTATTATTAACAGTTGTAAAAGTGTTATCAATGTAAATGACATCTGTATATTAACAAGAGCGATCAGTAATCACATGTGTCGCCTCATGATGGCCAATTTCATGTTGGGACAAATTTTGTGACAGACGGACAGACAGACGGACAGACAGACGGACAGTGCAGATCAATCCTGTAAAGTTTCATTGAAATTGCATTAGTGGTATAAGAGAAGTAGTCCGGACAAACTTTAAAAATAAAAATTATTAAAGGGCCATAACTCTGACAATAACCATTGAACCGGAAAATGCTGACAATATGCACAACTAGACTTGGTACTGATCATTCCTGTAAAGTTTGGATGAAATAGCACTAGTAGTTTATGAGGAGTAGTCCGGACAAGCTTTTATGTATTTGGCAACACACAGAAAAAAAACACCTTTTTATCAAAGGGCCATAACTCGGCCAAAAATCATTCAACCGGAAAACCCGTGCAATATGCGCAAGGACTTGAGCTACAGATCAATCCTGAAAAGTTTCATTGAAATTGCATTAGTGGTATAAGAGAAGTAGTCCGGACAAACTTTAAAATTATTAAAGGGCCATTACTCTAACAACAAGAGCTGTCACAGGAGACAGCGAAGCTCGACTAATAAAATACTGGACGCAGTAAGGAGGACAAAACTATGAAAGAAAAATCAATTATGTATAATTATGTATTAAGTTATAGTAAAAAAATAATATTTGTTAACATAAATTCCAAGATCAAGGGGAATAATTCTAGAAATAGTCATGCTAGAGTTATGGACCTTGTCAAACAACATTTGTGTAATGATAAGAAATATATATTTGAAGTTTGAAGTAGATACCTTAAAAAGTAAAGAAGTTATTATATTTCTTAAAGAAAATCCTAAGTTCAAAGAGAGATAAATGTGTAAATATTGCTTCAAAAGTTATGAACATTGTCACATAAAATGTAATTGATGATAAGGAATAAGTATTTGAAGTTTGAGGTAGATACCTTTAAAAATAAAAAAGTTATAATAAAAAATAACATTTTTCTAGTAAAAAAATCTAAGTTTATGCGGAGATAATTCTTGCAATATTGGTGCTAGAGTTATGAACCTTGTCACATAAGATGTGGATGATGATAACGTAAATATATTTGAAGTATGAAGTTGATCCCTTTAGAAATAAATAAGTAACAGTAAAAAAAATATTTTTTATGGAAAATTCTAAGTTCAAAGGGAGATAAATCTGAAAATATTGGTGCTAGAGTTATGAACCTTGTCACATAAGATGGGGATGATGATAACATAAATATATTTGAAGTATGAGGTTGATCCCTTAAGAAATAAAGAAGAAACAGTAAGAAATAGTACTTTTTGAGGAAAATTCTAAGTTCAAGGGGAGATAAATCTGAAAATATTGGTGCTAGAGTTATGAACCTTATCACATAAGATGGGGATGATGATAAGGTACATATATTTGAAGTATGAGGTTGATCCCTTAAGAAATAAAGAAGTAACAGTAAAAAATAGTATTTTTTAAGGAAAATTCTAAGTTCAAGGGGAGATAAATCTGAAAATATTGGTGCTAGAGTTATGAACCTTGTCACATATGATGTGGTTGATGATAAGGAACATATATTTGAAGTTTGAAGTTGATACCTTAAGAAATGACAAAGTTATAGTGAAAAATATTTTACTGCACCAAAACTTTAATCTAAAATCTGGACGCGGACGCCGGGGCGAGTAGGACAGCTCTCCATATACTTCGTATAGTCGAGCTAAAAATCATTGAACCGGAAAATGCTGACAATATGCACAACTAGACTTGGTACTGATCATTCCTGTAAAGTTTGGATGAAATTGCACCAGTAATTTATGAGGAGTAGTCCGGACAAGTTTTGTGACGGTCGGACGGACAGACAGACGACGGAGAAGTGATCCCTTTATGTCGCCACTACTCCGTAGAGGCGACACAAAAATGTTCCATCATTTTACATATGCATACATTAATATGTACTTACAGTTCACAATATTTGCTACTTTTGTTTTTGTCCAATGATCAATTCATATTCTCCAAGGTATTAGATATATTGTTGTTCAAATAAACATGTTATTGTGCTTCTATAGTAATGAATTGTCATGAGTACTTATTGTGCTCAATATTTTTACTGATGAATACTGACCAATTTGATTGCATGTATGTCATTGCTACAAATATTTGTGCTTGTGTTTCACTATAGATATACATGTATTAAATTTTCAATAATATTTTTTGTTCATTAATAATTTATAGTTATAAGTGATTAACCGTTATTTCAACTGTTTAATATTGCAGCATTGCCATTACCAACAATAACAAACATACTACTTTGGACATTCAATCAGGCACACATTACACAAATTCTGTTTCTCTTGAAGTGAAATGCCCAGTCCCTTAAAATTCGAGTTACTGAGAGTCAACTGTATAAGCAAAACCTATGACCCCCGGGGGCGGGGCCAATTTAGACACTAGAGGCATAATTTGAACAACTTTGGTTTCAGAGGCACACCACATGACAACCACAATAGCTCATCATGAGCACATTGTGCTCTGGTGAACTAAAAGTGCAAAATGAATTCAACTGTTACAACAAACAGTATTCTGTACAACAGAAAGTTATTCATTATTTTAAGCTATTATTATTCATTGTTCATCAGCAATGATATAAAAGGATACTTGTGTAGTAGTTGGAATAGTCCTGTACCTATTGTCATTGGTATACCCATAATAATACACTCACTTACACCTGAAATAATACATGTCTGCAATATTATACTCATGTATACAGTACATCACTTGTGGGAAATATATTATACATTGACATATATACTTTCCATTAATATACACAGAAAACATTGACAAAAAAAAAAAGAACTATCGCTGAATGAGATTCATACCCCCACCAATGTCCTTGACAGACGACGACTTGGGGAATAACTTTAGTGGCACAAATACATATACATAAAAAAAATTATCTCTGGTGAAAAAAAAAGACAAATTGTACAGGTAATAGTATAAATATATATATTATCAAATCATGTTCGAAACAGTTACAAATAACATTTCATTTTCCCAATGTACTAAAACAAACAAAAGCAGTGAAGTTAAGAAAATAGCATAATTATGCCAAAATGTAATTAAGAGTGGAAAAACTTTGCATACTGAGCTTACTTATATAAAAAAATTTACCCTTCATATATTATATAGTTTCAAGTGAATATTTGTTCTGGTTTAAGAAACATTATAGTAAATAAATTTAAAGACATAAAAATGGACTTTACTTTGTCAAAATACAATAGAAAGTTATCCCCCCCCCCCCACTTTTTTTAGTTATGAAACCTGCATATCTTACTTGCGACACTTCGTATATATTTGAAGTTTCAAATGATTATCTGTTTTAGTTTTAGAAATATACATGTTAAAATTTCAGAACATTTTCTATGTCAATTTTTGACCTTCAAGTGTGGCCTTGACCTTAAGCTGGCACAAGGTAAGATGATTCTGCATATTGCCCAGTTGGGGTGAACATTTGAGTCACGTTTGAAGAAAATCCTTTCATTAGTATAGAATTTATAGAGCTGACACGCCATTATTGTCTAGTATTGATTGAATGCAAATTTAAAGACTTAAAAAGGGGCATAACTTTGTCAAAATGCAATACAGAGCTATGAAACTTGACCTGCATATCTTACTTGTAACACCTCATATATCTTTTAAGTTTCAAGCAAATACCTGTGCTAGTTTCAGAAATATTCAAGTTAAGAACATTTTAAGTCAATTTTAGACCTTAAAGTGTGACGTTGACCTTAAACCGGCACAAAGGTAACATGGGTTCTGCACATAACCTTGTTGAGGTGAATATTTGAGTAAAGTTTGAAGAAAATTCTTCCATTAGTATAGGATTTATAGAGCGGACACAACATATTGTCTAATATTTGATTGTATGTAAATTTGAAGACTTAAAAACTTTGTCAAAATGCAATACAGAGTTATGACACTTGACCTGCATATCTTAATTGTGACACTTCATATATATATTTTAAGTTTCAAGCAAACACCTTTTCTAGTTTCAGAAAATTTCAAATACATGTTAAAATTTGAGAATATTTTCTAAGTCAATTTTTGACCTTCAAGTGTGACCTTGACCTTAAGCCGGCAATAGGGTAACATGAGTTCTGCACATTACCTTGTTAAGGTGAACATTTGAGCCAAGATTGAAGAAAATCTTTAAATAAGTGTAGGACTTACAGAGCGGACACGACATACTGTCTAATATCTGATTGTTTGATATTTGACCTTCAATTGTGACCTTGACCTTGAGCTGACACATGGGTTCTGCACATCCCCTTGTTGAGGTGTACACTTGAGCCAAATTTGAAGAAAATCCTTCAATTGGTATAGGATTTATACAGCGGACACAATAATGGAGACGGACGGACGTACACAACAAAGCGAATCCATTATAGCCCCCCCCCCATATTTTGTGGTGGGGGTATAAATATAATTAATATAATTCAACAACTAAGACAATGTTTTTAGTCTGATAAGTCAATAAAGAACCACACTTGATGATTTTACCTGATGAAAAATTAGAATAACAGCTATAAAAAAATTGATATGTCATTATGGAATTATATGTGTGACTAATGGCAAAATTCAGGGGGCATACCAGTGCAATCTTTAAATGTAAAAAAAAATACAGTTCATGGTTCCTTGTTAAAATCGGCTCTAGTTATAACAGGGACAATAATTGCTCCCTTAATTAACCGGCCCAGAAGAAATTGAAAAATTCAACTCTGTCGTGCATCATTTATTCCTGTTTTCGCGTACATCCTTTTTGAAGAGAACATTAATGGGAGGTAACTCTTTGAATATTATTACCCTAAGAAGTTTTTGTTTTAATCAAATATACAGTTAAACTTGGTTTGCTTGAACTCAGATGGCTCGAACACTTCCCAGAGACCCAAACTCATTGCTCAGTCAAGGCAAAATTCCTAAATAATCTATATTGTTCTAGCTTGGATTGCTCGTAAACTGATCTCAAACTCTCAAACTTAATCTCTGGTCCCTTGTGAAAATCACACCTTTTCGGTCAAACACAAACAGATAACAAATGTTGCGGGTCAACATGTTCTGAATTAATGACAACCCGCGTCACAATTAGTGATACCCCGCGTCACATGTTTTTAACACCTTGTGATCATAATAAAGGCAATAAAAATTAATTGATACAAAATTAGAGGTGCTGTTACCGATTTGTTTCTTATGATAATAGTTTATTTGCTGTTTTTAGTAAAGATACAAAGAAATTTTTGTGAAATAAATGAAATGTGCAAGTCAATACAGTCTACTCCACTTATAACGAGATCTGTTTTAACAAGATACTGCTTATAATGTACATTCTACTGTGTCCCGGCCTTTTTCCTTCTATTTTCCTTTCATTTTATATTGTTTATAACGAGATCGGTTTTAGCGTGATATCGGTTACAACGTACATAATTTCCCATGCGTGTTTTTCAGAATTTAGATGATGTCACTTCATTGGCACTTCGTCTGCATCAGTTTTTCATCTTGAGAAAAACAATGACAATTGTGACCAAGAACAAAGGGCAATTAAGGAAGAAATTGAAATTATTGAGCAATTAGCGCCTTGTTTTGTCAGCACTCCAGGCTAAATTGCCTTAAAGGTGACGATCGAAATGTCATAAGAAAACAATTTTATTGATTAGCACAAAGGAAGTGGCTAATTTCCTGCAGTGTTATTCAGTGTTCGAGAGAAATACACTGCATGACTTTTGAAAACAAACTTTAATTTGTACATATTAATAAAAACCCATGTGGTTAGACGTAGTATTATGCGTTTTCATATGTTTTGTTTAGATTCTATGATAGTTAGATATATTTATATACATGTATAATTAAATAAACAAATACTTCTGAGTGCAATGAGTTACCTCCAATTATGTACTCTTTAAAAAGGATGTTCACGAAAGCGAAAGTAGAAATAGATGATGCCCGACGGTGTCGGATTTCACAATTTGTTCTGTCCCGGTTATAACAAGACTCGGTTATAACGAGGAATCATGCGAAGTCCTGACAATCTCGTTGTATCCGGAGTGCACTGTACATGAAGTTAACATGGTTAATGTTCATGCATGGCTTTAATTAACAGCCGCTGTTCATGTCATGTATATTGTTACTCATGTTGGTGATTATCTATTTATAGAAGGATACTTGTATGTGTTACTTTTAGTAAATGACTACAAATTTATAGATGCTGATGTAAAATGATTTTTAATTTTAAATGAATTCATTTTTGAAAATAATATTTATCCCATAATTGATAATATTGATTAACACAGTGAACCAATAATACTCATTTGTAAACACTGAAAGGAATGATTTTGACAATAATCCTTAACATTTATAAGAACTAGAAATGTGTTGCACGCCATGGATGCCCCCGCATGCAGCCAAAATTTCAGATGTTATAATATTTAGTTCCAAATTTGTTTTCACAAACTATATTTTTCATTTTAAGTTTAAAGCTCTCAATATAAACACAAACCATTTTTGTAAAAAGTTCAAGGCACTCCGAAAATTTCAGTGTTAACCTTTTGTAAATTGCATATTGTATATTTGTAGCTAAAATAATGACAACACACATTTCCACAAAAGTATGCGTGCTGAAACTTCAATATTTCTCCAACATTCAAGAGAGATAACTTTGTCCAAAATGGTTAAACCATGACCAAATTCAAACTTGAACTGCTTATTCCTAAGATGTATCTTTATGTTAAATTTGAGTTGAATGTGTACAACCATTGTGGAGATAATGAACGGAAACTAAAAATTTCTGATTTTTTTCAAAGACAAGAGTGATAACTCTGTCAGCTATCATCAAGCCATGACCAAATTCGAACTTGATCAGTGTATTCTTATGACATATCCATATCTTAAATTTGAGTTGAATATGTACAACTGTTGGGGAGATAATGAACGGAAACTGAAAATTTCTATTTTTTCAAAGTTAAAGGGGCATAACTCTGCAAAACAAGAGCCACCATCTGGCGGGGGCAACAATCGACTTTTTACTTTTTCTAAAAGCAAACAAGAAATTTTTAAACAAATCTTAATGTTTTCTTTTTATAAATTTAATCGGTCTGTCTTGTCAAATTAGTTTTGTCAAAGTATGAATCCTTTCCAAATATATACCCATGTGTATTACAGAAGAAACAAGCAATTATGAAGTATTGCAAGCAATCCATAAGTCCCCTACCGGTTAGAACCCCAGCAACATTCTGAAGGGCCATTGACCATTCAATTTTACCAGTGAATGAATGACATGAATGAACTTAAATCTTTTGAGTTCTAAGTTTGTCTATATCACAGTAATGTGTTAAGTTTCCCAGCCTAGTAAGGAAATTATGTTTATACAACCTTGTCATATTATTACGATGTGGAATTTTAAAGTAAATCCTATAAGGAATGAAGAAGTTGGAGTGAAAAATACCAATTTCTTGAAAAAAATCTAAGTTCAAGGGGGACATAGTTCTGGAAATAGTCTTGCTAGAGTATTTAACCTTCTCAAAATGTTGAGTGATAATAAGAAACATATATATGAAGTTTGAAGTAGATACATTAGGAAGTTATTAAAGAAGTTATTTAAAAAAGACAACATTTTTTTCATAAAAATCCTAAGTTCAAGGGAGGTAATACTGAAAATTTTTGTGCTAGAGTTGTAAA